AATTTTAATAAATAGCCAAATAGTTTCTACATTTTTACATGTAGAAATGGAGCATGCTGAATAGGGATGGTGATTTGCCATGATCCGGTGGGGAACCTGGTTCACCCGACCCGAACGGGGACGGGGATTCCCCGCTAAAATGGGTCCGGGAATTCCTGGTAGAATCAAACTAACAAATATTCTTCATGGGGTTTGACCGAGATTGATAGAGGTTTAATCGGGGACTAGATGTTAATCCCTGTATTCGCCAGGGGCGGGGCCCAGGGGATGTTACTACAAACCGGGACTGGGGATTACAAAACCCGTCCTGTTGCCATGCCTAATGTTGAAAAGGGGATTACATTCACCCTTTTCAAACCGCACTACTTTCCCATCTTCGAATTCTTGTTTTGAGAGAACCCCATTTGTCCAGTTCAAGATCTATTGGTCATACATACACTGTTGAAACTGACAAAGTTGTTGACGAATCAACTTGAAGTTCGCAGAGGCAAGAGAAGATGTCGAAATCACGATGGAATCAAAAGAAACTGTTTGTTTCAATGAAGACGTTGAATGTGCTCGTGTTGTGGTTAAAGAAATTCTTTATATGTTTGAAGCATCGCTTTCGAAATTCCCCGAAAAAAGGAGAGAGAGGGGATATAGAGGTATATGGGGCTGAAGACTGAACTTGGACAACTGAATGTATAACGAGGCATGTTCATTCGGGGCTAATCTATTTTTCTTTTATGTTTTGAAACAAACCTTTACGTAGATACATTCAAACTCACCATTTTTGTTTTGTTTCAAAGGATGCAGACATTCATTAGCAGTGTACTGAAGTCAATTTGATGTTGCTTGTGATTATTTTTGCTTCTTGGGTTCAATCTGTTATAATCATCTGCTCTTATATCAAATTTCTTATACGTTTAATCCTGTTCTTTTTAAATCTGTTTCGTGTCTTATGGGCATGATTCATACCTCATGATAATGTATATGCCTATTCTCTTTTACTTGTTTTTGGATGTACATGCATCTGTGCGTTGTAATTTTGTTGCTCGTAGATGGATCTGGTACTTTCCTTCAATCCTGTCAAGGTGCGAAACTTTGTTGACATAATCTTAGGGTCCAATCTACTGTTCTTTATTTTGAAATGTTGTTTTAAACTAGTAATACTGAACATGTAGTTATCTTTGTAAGGTAGTTGTTTTATTCAGATATTTACCGAATAACAGTATTTAATTTATAGCTGAAATCATACAGAAGGTTAAAATGGTAATTTGTCGTTACTAAGTCCGTCCATTCAGAACAATCACCAAACAACCATATTCCATTCTCCACTGTACTGTATAAAGCCTCTTAAACATTACGACTACTTGGCCATTATGCAACAAGCCATATAACAACTTCCAAAAAACCCTTTAAGTTTCGTCGAAATCCCTTCTTACGCTTCTCACATTGACTCTTCTTCTCATTCGATCACTTGTCTATGCATATTAGTCTAGACATAGGTTCATTTGAGAAGTGGTAAGTATCTAAAAAGTAGATAAGTGATCTTAGCTCTTCATCTGGTCAAGATTTGCGGTCTTGACTGTGAAGCGTCGAATAATTCCTCGTATGATATGCAGAAGATAGAGAGATAATTTCGTAACTTTTGCAAATAACCGACAAAACAAGTGCATACGTGAACCCGTATAATTTACATATAAGCTCCTTAACTGGTTCATATATGAACCTGTCTGATTCAATATGGGTTTACATGTGTACTTATTTGCCGTCAATTTGTAAAAGTTACAAAACTATTCATTTATTTTTCGTTTGATCAATCAAAATCGCAATCTTTAATCAGTCAAAGTTATAATTCTTGACCAATCTTGACCGTATGTAACTGTAACGAATTGGGTTTAATTAAATTGTTGGTGAATTATTTCGAAGAGTTTGACCATTTTGTGTACACCCTTAAATTGCTGTAGAGAAGTCAACGGATGGATGGAGATGGGGCCCGCCGGCCCGGTCCTTTTGGTAATCAATTGACCTGAAACCTTTGTCTAACTCTAGTTACTTCACCTTGTAACCCTTCCTTTTTACAGGCCAGCAAGCATTGTATTCCTTCTTACTGTGTGGCCCACCTCCACCATATCATTCCCATATATATTAATAAATACATAAAAAATTAAACACATAATATAATTCTCTTTTTTTAGGTGAAATAAAAACAATTAATTTTAAGAGCCAAATAAGTTGTATAAAGATGTTTTTTTTAATATATAATATTTAAATACAGTAAATACAACAAATAAACTCACACACCCTTCTCACATTTGGTAAGGTTTGAATTTATGACCTTCTAGGAGGCCAAAGACTACGATACCGTTAGGCTAAATGTCATTTGGTGTACAAAGATGTCTTTTTTCGGTTTAATGGAACTCATAACTTATTTGATCAATATATATATGATTGTTTGGTAGTAGCTTAATAATAAAAAAAACGACTTATTTCGTAAACTTTTAGGAGGGCCGAGGCGGAGGGAGTTTTATGCAGAAAATCAAATAACTTATCAACTTGTCCATCCCAATTAAAAAAAACACTCATTTCATCTACGAAAAACTCTAAAAAAAAATCTTAATCTATGCAGATAGATTAATCAACACAGGTAAATTTATCCATATATGACTTAATGTAAAACCAACCAAACAGTCTCTAAGTTTTATTAGGGGTGCGGTAGTGGTTCGGTTTAGGGGAGAAGTTGCAAACCAAACCATAAGTACGCTTTGAGCATTTCTCTAAACCACATATACATCAAAACCACAAAATACTGATATGGAAGATATATCTGATCCCTTATAAAGCAACTTTAGTTTCTCCCTTTAACTGATATGGAATGTTACATGTATAAACAGTTATTTTTTTTTGACAAATTTTGTGTTAAAAGATATTGTCAAAATTTTATATATCTGTCCATGTATTAAATTCTCTCGGCATTGTATATATTGAAAGTTTCTAAAAAATACAATAAACAGCATTTAATGATCAAGAAACAATGAATATTACCACGAGTAATTAATCACATACAACGAATCAACGAACAATATTCATAAATAATGAACCCGACAATGGATCATACATACGTATCAATTTCGTTTAATATGACTAACTTTTTATACTGATTCGTTTAATCATATTGAAAAATAAAGGCTACACATTGGAGGCTTTTATTGTAAATTTTTAGTTGAATTTTACCAGGGTCATTGAGAATTTTACTGGTTGTTATCGTTATAATTTTGTGGGATTAATAGAGATGCGTATAAACTTTTATGAAAATCCACAGTTATTGAAAAATTACAACGATATAATCAAAAAACTAACTTTATTGCAAAAATACAAAGTATAGTCGTTTACGGTTATTTAAATAAATAGATATTAATCTATGGATGTATATATAGGCGAAGGAACGTGTGAGAAAAAAAAGTTAAAGTGAGAAATGTAATAAAATGTTTGAATACTTGATAATTTTAATCTCATGCCCATCCATGAATTGTGTTAAAAGAAGAGAATTGATATGATGCATCTCATTAGTGTTGACATTCAAATATTATTGATCCAATGGTGGAGATCTCTTTTTATGCTTCTCACAGGAACCTAACCTTGTTTATATATATATATATATATGCATTCAAGGGATAACTTAATAGTTTTGTGATAACCGTGAGATTCGATCTCAACTACAAATCAAATGTTAAATTAGGAAATTAACAATTTGAAAAATATACATAAATAACTTTTGACCTTTATTTAAAATAACTAAATTACCTTTTTTACTTTATTTAAAAAAATATCCTTAAATATTTCAAATGAGTAGTTCATACTGGATCTCACAGTTATCACAAGCTATACAGTTCTCATTTGATTAGGCCCTTATATATATGTTTGTGTATATATATATATAGGCGAAATATCTTGTGAACATAAAAGTTATGGTGAGAAACATAAGAAAAATCTAAACCTTTGATCATTTTTAATATCATGTCACCCATGAATTGTGTTTTAGAAAGGGAATTGATCTAGTGCATCTCGGTGCACCTCATCAGTGTTGACATTCAATTATGATTTTTCTAAAGGTAAATATCTCTTCTTACGCTTCTCACCAACCCCATATATATACATACATATGAGAAGTTTCAAATATAAACCATGTCATTGTTACAATTACATATTATACACACATGCAATTGAGATATTTTATGGAAACGATGAACGTTCATTTGTTATGATATAAATATTTATTGAAAGATAGTCAAAGTTCATTAACTATGGTCAGGGCTTTATATTAAAAAATAATCGAAATATTTATGAAATCACATATTCATCAAACTAGAAGAATTATTGAGATTGATTTGTATGGTTTACAACAATGTGCTGGGTTGTATGATAAAAACCACAAATCAATAGATAAATTAAGAAATTTATATTTTTGGTAATTTTGAATAAATTTTTTAATGTAACGATATTTTAGATATTTTATTTTTTCTCTTCTCTTTCCGTACCCCGTCCTTCAGATTAAACATATTTTAATTTAAAATAAAATGGTATTTTAATCGCATATTAATTAATCAAAAGGTTTTTAGTTTTATTTTTTTAGGTTTTTCCGAATATATAAATACTATTTTTTATTTCACTATGCATTATTTATTTATTTTACATTAAAAAACACAAAATACTTCAAACTTTAGGTTTATATGCAACGGATACTGTTTCATGGAAATAAATGTATTCGAGTCAAATATTCACCTGCTTGCCTGCTTCAAAGCTTACACATGCTCTCTTTTTTCTTAACCGTCCGATTACCATCCAACGGTGGATCATCAAAAGAAACATAATATCATGCTTAATGTTTTCAAATGCGTTAAAGTGGGAACAAAATCACTACCAGTCAACACTCTCGTCAGCTTTCCCTAGAACAATATTCACATATTCCCACACACACTCGATAATCTCTTTCACTCTCGCTCTAAAACCCCTTCTCTCTCTCTCTCTCCGAAGCTCCATCCATGGCGGTTTCACCTTTTTCAACCATTTTGCTTTCCTTTTCTCTTACCTTCTTCTTCTTCTTCACCTTCACCATTTCAGCACCATCTTCTTCTTCATCTTCTCCAGATGTTGATTTGTTACTCAGAAGAGTGAAACCTTCAATCCAAGGAAGAACGGAGAATTTGTTGTTGAATTCATGGAATACATCTGTTCCTCTCTGTCAATGGCGAGGATTGAAATGGGTTTTCACAAATGGATCTCCATTAACGTGTACGGATATATCTTCTCCACAATGGTCGAATCTCTCTCTCTCTAAAGACCCATCTCTTCATCTTCTCTCTCTACAACTCCCGTCGGCAAATCTCTCCGGCACACTCCCTCCGGAGATTGGAGAACTCTCCACACTTCAGAGTCTATATCTTTCAGTTAACTCCATCTCGGGTTCCATCCCACTTGAACTCGGGTACAGCTCTTCATTATCGGATATTGATCTCGGATCCAATTTGTTATCCGGGTCGGTTCCTGCATCCATCTGGAACCTCTGTGATCGATTGATATCTCTTCGTCTTCATGGTAATTTGTTATCCGGGTCAATACCCGAACCCGCATTACCAAATGCCACCTGCAACACTTTACTATATCTCGATATGGGACAAAATGAATTTACAGGAAGTATTCCAGAATATATATCTGGATTTCGAGGGCTTCGACAGCTTGATCTTAGTAGCAATAATTTTTCAGGTTTAATTCCAGATGATTTATCGAAATTACCTTTAGATAAACTGAATCTCTCCTACAATAATCTCTCTGGTGTTTTGCCTAATTTTGGTGAATCAAAATTCGGATCGGATTCGTTTGAAGGAAACCCTAGCTTATGCGGTCCGCCATTAAAGCTCTGTAAACAAGGCTCCAAAGGAGGTTTAAGCTCCGGCGCCGTTGCCGGACTCGTGATCAGTTTGATGACAGGCGTTGTCGTTTTTGCTTCACTATTAATTGGGTATTCTCAAGGGAAACGAAAGAAGAACTTAGATGAAGAAGAAGAAGAATTCGAAGATGGTGAAGATGACGAAAATGGCGGTGGCGAAGGAAAATTGATATTGTTTCAAGGCGGCGAGCATTTGACATTAGAGGATGTATTGAACGCCACCGGTCAAGTTATGGAGAAGACGAGTTATGGAACGATTTATAAGGCGAAATTGGCCGATGGTGGTACGATTGCTTTGCGGCTTTTGAGGGAAGGGAGTTGCAGAGACGGTGGTTGTTGTTTGCCGGCGATCAGACAGTTGGGAAGAATCCGGCATGAAAATTTGATTCCGTTGAGAGCTTTTTATCAAGGGAAAAGAGGGGAGAAGTTGTTGATTTACGATTATCTTCCGAATCGGACTCTTCACGAGCTCTTACACGGTAAACGCTTTCGATTTTTAACACCGAGATCGTATGTCACTATTTTCGTTAAGGGGTGTTCGCGGTGCGATTTGAGCATTTTCCGAAACTATAAACCTTTACGTTGCATATGCGATTTGAGCATTGTTTGAAACCGCACCGCATATGGACGGTTTGGACGAACACCCCTGATTTTCGTTAACGGTCGGTTAAATCATGCTTGAATTCCGCTCGTTATCGTGTTTTACGATAAATGTTCGTAGTAGCGCTTGTTTTTTGAAGTAGGGTTGGGTTAAAACGAGAAGGGGGAAGTTCCAAGATGATACATGATTACATGTGATACGAACACGTAAATACTTGTGTTGCGTTGATTGGTATATTGCGGGGGACGTTTCCCATTTACCAAGTAACCCGTGTTGGACGTGTTGTACCATGTATGATTACGTGTTCGTATTATATGTGATCATTTGCGATCTTGGAACTTCTCGTAAATTCATCAACTTCATAGGCTTTTATTTTTGGTAACGGTTGGTTAAATCATGCATGAAATCCGCTCATTAATGTGTTTTACGGTAAATGTCCACGGTTCTATCTTCGGTTGTCCAAAAATTAGCATATATTTTCAAAAATAGGGTCATGTTCGAATAGGACGGCGGTCAATATGCGAGAAGGCGAACCGTTCCAAGATCATATATGAAACAACACATGTTGCATTGACCGACGTATTAGCGGGTGACATGCACTAAGTCGGGTCTATTTTGGACGTGTTGTATTGTAATACGATTTACGTGTCTGTATCACATAATCATCATATATGATCTTGGAACTTCTCGTGCTCTCGGAAATTGATCAACTTCTTGCATGGTTCTCCATCTTTAAAATTAACGTTATAATGCTGAAATCTTCAAAATGAAGAAACTATTGGAGATGAATGTAATTTTTTTCTGTCGAGATTTCGACTTTTGGTTGATCAATGGTTGTTTGTTTTCTACAGAATCGCGGCCCGGGAAACCGGTTTTGAACTGGTCAAGGCGGCACAAGATTGCGTTGGGTATAGCCAAAGGGCTAGCCCATTTGCATTCGAGCATCGAGACACCCATCACTCACGGCAATGTGCGGTCAAGAAACGTGCTTGTTGATGACTTTTTCGTGGCCCGGCTCACGGATTTCGGGCTCTACAAGCTCATGATCCCGGCGGTAGCCGACGAGATCATTGCCGCCGCGAAAACCGGCGGCTACAAGGCACCAGAGCTTCAAAAGATGAAGAACTGCAATTCAAGAACTGATGTGTATGCCTTCGGGATCCTACTTTTGGAGATTTTGTTGGGAAAGAAGCCCGGAAAGAATGGCGGCAGGGAGGGGTTCGTTGATCTTCCGGCGGCAGTGAAGGTGGCAGTTCTAGAAGAAACGACAATGGAGGTTTTCGATGTGGAGGTTCTGAAAGGAATCAGGAGTCCAATGGAAGACGGTGTGGTTCAGGCCTTGAAGTTAGCCATGGGGTGCTGTGCACCGGTGGCATCGGTTCGACCATCGATGGAGGAAGTGGTGAAGCAGCTCGAGGAGAATAGACCGAGAAACCGATCGGCTTTGTATAGCCCGGCTGAAACGAGAAGTGAAATCGGAACGCCATTTTGATCGTTTTTCGGGTTCGAATCATGGAAACGGGGGGTTTTACGAACTGCAACGATAAGATTACATACAAGACTTTTTTTTCTCCGTGTTTTGGTGCACCAGGGTTGTGTTTCGATTTTAGATAGTTTGTTGAGATTTTGTATTAGATGTATGTATGCATCAAGAATGTAGAACTATTATTCCGCTAAATGAATCGAAAACGATTGCGTAAATCGACTTTTTCCCGTTGTTTGGTGTACCGATTGTCGTTTTGCGTATTGGTTCGGTTGATCGAGATTTATACCGCGAATTTCACCAAAGGTCAAAAGTACTAGTAGGTCCCAAGTTTAAATCCAAGGAGGAATACAAATCCCCTTGGCCACGGAGGTTCAAACGCGATGACTCTGGGCTATCTGCAAAACAGTTGGTCGTCCTGGGATTAGTCGAATCGCATATCGGGTTGAATATCCAGGTTAATAAAAAAAAGTTAATTATTACAAAAATATTAATGGATTTGGCGGGCCTATCCAAATATTTTTTTCATTGTCCATGTCTGCCTGTTAATTTTAACAAGTCAGTTCAGGTCCACCCATTTCTTTGATAATGGTAATCCAAGCTCGTTTTTTTAGCGGACCAGACATGACGGGTCTAACGGGTCATCCCGTCAATAGCTCTACTAAAAAGTAAACTAGAAAACAGATAATGTAAAAACTCTTTAAACTTAATATTGAGAAAATAGATGAGTTATTATAATTGTTCCACCAACTTAATACATATCTCTCTCTCTCCTTCTCGTTCGTGTAACATACATACGCAATTAATTTATACTGTATTATAAAATATTTGATAAAAAATTTTAAAAGTCATTTTTATACATAAAGTACTATTAATTAATCCATATTACTTAAAATTCAAGATTACAAGTAAATTGTACATAAAAACAACTTATTAAAACTCAATTTTTGAATTCTGTAAGTAACTGTAGATAAACATAATCAAATACGAGATAAACATCTCATTTTAAATATAAAAACTCTAAAATGTAATTAGGATAATCATTGACTTCACGGATTATAAAGTTATTAAAAGAAGACTCTTATATGTAATATATATTTCAAAATGGTATCAAAGATAATGTTTAATACTCTCAAGAATTGAGACCCCGGTCTTTGCTTCTTTGGGACAATATGTGCCTTTTTAGCCTCAGTTGAATCTTCACAACAAAAACATTGTGAAGGTTATCTTCATAGGCGTTTTGCTGTGAAGTTTCAAGTGTAAAAAGGTGGTCTCACGAAAACAGACTGGTTTCACATGATCCCATCTCTCTCCCTCTCTCTCTCTCTCTATATATATATATATAGTGAGGATCAAACGAGAATTGTACATATTTAAAAGAACACGGAAACGGTTGAGTCACATGTGATTTTACACTAACATCACATGTGATCCAAGTGACCTGAAGACGTAGCCACAAGTCGTCTGAACACTTTTTTTGACTATCAATGTAAAATCACATGTGATTTTGTACGTGATTTGTCCGTTTTCATATTCTTTCAAATATGGATCATTCTCATTTGATTACACACACACACACACACACACACACACACACACACACACATATATATATATATATAGTTTGTTTCAAATACAACCCGTCGCATTTGTACAACCAATGCAACCTAATAAATTGAGATATTTATGGAAATGATGAGAGCTTATTTATTATGATTTGAATATTTATGAAAGATGAATATGGTTCATTAATTATGATCAATACTTTATATTAGGAAACAATCAAAACTTCTATGAAATCACATATTAATCAAATGAAATGGACGGTTGAGATTGAGTTGTATTAGTTGCACAAATATCAAGAGTTATATAATAACCAACCTCTATATATATATATATAAGGGCTGTTTGATTGAGACAGATGAATGAAAATAAAAATAAAAATAAAAGTAACTAAAAATGAATTTTCATTCCCTGATTTAAACCGAATGCAAATTATTTGACCCAACCAAATATCTATATTACAATTCGGTTATTTCGTTTTATTTTTGGTTCAATTGGTCCGGTTTTTTTGGGCCGGTCGGGTTATTGTTAGTGGGTATAATTAGAAAGGAGCCCAGTAACTCGGGTTTGCCGGTTCGGCAGTTCGCCTAAACACTTCGCACCAACAACCACCAGACCCTCTCTGTTCGGAACCGAACCCTAGATAAAGTATCTGGCACCACCAACCAACCAACCCACGAGCTCAACGACGACGGCCGATCACGATGGGTTCCGATGAGGAAGATCACCCCACCGCCGTCTACGGCGAAGAAGATATCGACGAAGAAGATGATGAAGAGAGCGAAGAAGAAGAGCATACCTTACAGAATCGACACGTTGATGAGGACGATGTTGACTTGATCGATGTCATGGAGGATGATGAAGAAGAGGACGATTCTATGTCTTCCGCCGCAGGTGAAGTCACGATCGCCGTCGCCGGTATTCCGAACGTCACCACTACTGTTGCCGCTACTCCAACAACAGCGACAACTACCACCACTTCGCTTGTTCGATCTGACGCCATTGTAGAAGTGAAGAAGCCTGTGGCTTTAGACGATTCGCGACGGCTGTTTCAGCGGTTATGGAACGATGAGGATGAAATTGAGCTCTTACAGGGGTTCCTTGACTACACTACGCAGCGAGGGACGAACAATTCTTCACATCACCACCACGATACGGCGGCCTTTTATGATCAGATCAAAGGTAAATTACAGTTAGATTTCAACAAAAACCAGTTGGTTGAGAAACTTAGAAGATTGAAAAAGAAGTATCGAAATGTCCTCAGTAAGATCAGTTCTGGCAAAGAGTACGTATTCAAAAGCCCTCACGATCAAGCTACTTTCGATCTATCCTGCAAGATCTGGAGTGGTATCGCAGCTACCACCGTCTCCACCCCTGCCACTGCTGATGGTGGAGGAATTGATGATGATGAACCCCATAACCCMAACCCTAACCCTAACTTCACTTTCAATTTGAACGAGCATAATGGTAACGATATTGCTGATCCCAATAGTTCAGAGAAGAAGGTGCCAAGGCCACGAAAGCGATCAAGGTCGTCTGCAGTTAAAATCGAAGAGAATTTCAATCAGCAGCATCAATTTAGTCAATCAATGGGGGCAGGGGCTGGGGCTGGGGCTGTGGCAGGGGCTTCGAATCCTGCAATCCCCAATGTGGTTGAAGAAACTGTGAAGAGTTGTTTACTACCATTGTTCAAGGAATTGGTTAACAATTCGCCTAACGGACCTTGTGGCAATTCAAGGGGGTTAGGGTTAGGATTAGGAGGGATGAACATGAATCCTTTTGGTGGGTCAATGAATTTCTCCATTGGAGATATGACTGATGATAAGTGGAGGAAGCAACACATATTAGAATTGGAGGTTTATTCAAAGAGATTAGAATTGATGCAGGATCAAATAAAGTCTAGATTGGAGGAGCTCAGATCAATGGGGAGTTGATGAAATCTCTGCAACCACCTTTGGATGCTACCATTGAGTGCTTTCTAGAGGTCATAATTATTTTCTTGTTTTTTAAGTTCATTAGTTTCATGGTCATATAAAATGGTGCATACTGAATTCAGCTATTATAATATGCTTAGTGGTTATCTCTTTTTCCTTGTAATGTTTGTTGTTAAATAATGTTAGCTTAAGTGTTTAGCCTTTCATATCTTGTTATGGAATAAATGAAAAGAACATCAAAGTAAAAGGAGATTGAACTCAGAGTTAACATATAAGAAAACCCTTCTAAAGTGATCATATGAGGCTTAGACAACCCGAAATTGATATTTGGTGAATGATAATTTGATCTTGGATTTACTAATATTCAACCATCACTAAAAGGATTTTAGGGTTCAATTGAGACTGATTCAAGAATAGAAGTGCTCAAAACTGGATTTCAAGTCAAATGAGTTGAGCTGTTTGTAGATTCATTGAGATGCACAGGGCCTGGACCTTCCAATCCCGTTTTCAGTAAACAAAAAAGACCCGGGCTTTAGGTGTGAAAAGGAGCTTTTCCAGGATTTGGCCGGCCGGGCTTTAACCACGCCTGAAAAATTACCAAGCTTTGATCAGGCTTTTTGGCCCTGACCTGAGCCTGGCTTACTAGGACTGGGCTTTTTCGGATAAGGGGCTTTATTTGTGCATCTCTAGATTCAACCATATAGTATTTTAGGTGATCATAGTAAGTTTGATGTATTTTACAGCTATGCTTTTGCACTATAACCCCCATTATATGTTGTATTTATGTGAGAAAATAATACATTAAACGGTTGGTGCACAATTCAGCAGCAATTATCCAATGTGCATCGCATGCTAGATGATGTCATGCATTATTTTAGTGATTGTGCCTTTGTTTTAACTTTTGTAAGAGTATTTACATCATCTTGAAGTCAAAATGCTAGGAAGAAACCATGAAAAACAAAGAATTTATGTTCTTGTCACTTTCCCAAAGTGCACAATGTCTATGCAAATTGGCATTGCACTATGTGTGACTAACCAAATCCAAAACCAAAATTAAACCAAACCAAACCTGACAAGCTCAATATATCCCATATGGAGGTGGGGTCTAGCCATATGAGGGTGAGATGTACGCATACCTAATCTCTATCTCAAAGAGTGGAGGGGTTGTATTGCACAAGCAAAACCAAACCAAGTCCCACGTGGAGGTGTGGTCTGGGATGAGATGTTTGCATACCTGACCTCTATTCAAAAGAGTAGAGCGGTATTACATAACTAAAACCAAATCAAACAAGCTCAGTATGTCCCACCTGGAGGTGGGGTCTATGGTAGATGTACATATACCTGCCTTCTATATCATAAAGCGTAGAATGGCATTGCATAACCAAAACCAAACCAAACAAGCTCGGTATATCCCACTTGGAGGTGTGGTCTGAAGGATGAGATGCATGCAGACTTAACCTCTATCCCGAACAGTAAATTCACTGTATTGTACTATGTGTAACTGATAAAATGAAATGTATCAAATTATTATCTGAAATGCAAACATGTTTTTCTCAGACACCCTCTCTAACTACATATTGTTTGCCAAAAGAAGCCATATATGGCATTTCCTCTCACACCTTCCTTATTCCAAGAAATCCAAAAACTGAAATCCCAAAACCTGCCAAATGGGGAAAAAACAAAGATCTAGAAAAGCTTCTTCCTTTTTTACCCCCTTCTGCTTTCTACAAACATAAAATCAACCCAAACCATCACATCACATCATCTTTCCTATCTAGGAAAACTTATATCCAATTCATAAATGAAGTGAAAGATCTAGCTTTTGAGTATCTATTTCCTTAACACCTTTATTCTCATCCATCACAAACATATTTTCTGGTGAATTCTCATCATTCCCAATTAGGCTCCTCTGACAGTTGATGAAACTTTGTTGTTCATCTTCTTGATCAAACTGATTATAAGGATTCTGATTCATGTAGTTGGGTCTGTAGTAGACAAGATTTGTATCAGATCCAAACTGTTGACCTTGGAATTGACACAGATTAGTGATATAAAGAGATGGATTAAGAATCCCAATCTGATTAGTGGGAGCAAACAACAATGGAGGTTGTGGAAGCAAAGAAGTAGGGTAATTGCAATGAGAATTAGCTGCCCTTTTAGCCTTTCTTGCTGCTGTTCTTTCTTTCTTGTGAGCATTTTGATGGCCTCCCAAAGCTTGAGAACTGTAGAACTTTCTAGAACAAAATTGACATGGGAAAGACTTGATGGTTTTATTTGTTTCACCATTGACAACATTTCCAGCTTCCATCTGTTTTTGCTGCCTGTTGAATCAAAAAGGAAGATGGGTTATCAAGAATTCAATATTTTAAACAAAACCCATATATATATAAATATATAAATATATAATATCAATCAAAGGGTTCATAAAATGATTAAAGAATGGAAGTCTGGAAGAAGACCTTGAAGATAGAAAGAAAGGAAGAAAAGTGTGATCAGCAGAGAGTGAAACAGAATGAAACCAAAAGATGCAACTTTTTAAACAGAGTTAAAGATGTGAGATGAAGGAGAAAGAGTTCAGAAACTAGTTATTGTGATTGGAAAATGTGAAGGTGAAAGTGTTAATGTGGTATGTATATAGTCAGTCTTCCTCACAAAGAGAGAGAGAGAGAGAGAGAGATGGAGCAGAGAGAGAGAGAGAGAGAGAGAGGGGTGTATGGGCTTGGGAACAGAAGAGATAAGAGAGGGATAGGTGAATAAGTGTGCACCAATACGTCTCTGCATGCTGCGGCAAAGATTTATATATATATATATGTATGTATGTATATATGTGTATATATATATATATATAGAGAGAGAGAGAGAGAGAGAGAGAGGGTAAAAGAAAGCAAGGGGATTGGGAAATGGAATCTCATGTCTTCCTTCTTTATTCACTTAAAAGTATCTGACAGTTTATGGGGTTTCATGGGCACTTGGCTTTCTTTTGCAGGCATTTTTATACTTCATTGCTTCACTTGTATTGTCATCAGTATCTTAAAATAAATGCAAAATCTCTAAAATACCCATTAATAGATTTAACCAAAATCGATGCTATCAAACATCATTAATGGCCAAAATAGTAAATTTAGGTTAAGATATTAATAAGACAGACTTTCTTTGGTTTTTAAAGTAGATTTTATAACAATAATCTATCTTATCTAAACAACTATAAGCTAGTTTAAGTTTATTGGTAAGCTGAATTTTAGGTTTTTTTTTAAATATATTTTTCGAATTAATTAGTTTTTTCAGATTCAGGTTATTTGGTGCTGTAATCTAGTTTATCGATTAATTTTCACTAGACACCAACATCTAGTATTTCAACTAACATATGGTTAATTTGTCAACGGCTAACTTATAAATTAGTTTGCCAAAGCTTAATGGGCTGTATGGATAGTTTTTTATTAAGTCTTGTATGGATAAAGTTGGTTGTGGGATTAATCTTTGTGTATAGACGGAGAAAGTTTTTGTTTGGGAGAGTTTTTTCATAGATGGGAGGAGCGTGTTTTTTTAGTCCAGAGGACATGTTCTGGAAAGACTTGGTTTTACACATAAAGCTCCCCTAGAAGTTTGCTGAATAAGTCAGTTTCTATATCATGAAGCACTTCCAAACGATCGTACATAGCTGACCGAATAAATTAAGTCTCATTAAGCTCCTAATAAACATGCCTTAAAGCTTAAACAACAACTCATTAAATATGACTTAAATTTAATGTTTTTCTTTTGAGTATTTGTACATCATGCATATGCATATGTCCAACACCTTGTTTTTTTTTTGGCTGAATGAGGAGGATTGGCTTGTTGTGAAAAGGGTTTTGAGTTATCCTCCAGGTCCCACGATCATTATGAAAAGGGTATATTACGGTGTCTAGACGTGGGCAGAGCTGAATTTGAACCGAGACCTTGTCCTTATTGTACGGACAATTTAGTGGGGGACAAGGATTGGCCTTCATGGGTATCCGAACCAGTTTATACATACTTCGACTAATTTTAAAGGATCTAAAAGATAACAGTAAAAAAAATCCCAGACTAATTTTAAAAAACTCGAACTGATAACCTATAAATAAGAGCTTAATGAGTTGAACAGAAATGAGAAAAAGTACACAATCTTAAAGAAGCATAAACAAAGATGATTTAGGCATTGGGAGCTGTGTACTTGGGGATGCAGTTACTTATTGTCTCTAAATCAAGATTTTTCATTCAACTTTTCTCTTTCAAATATTATGTACCATTTTTACAGCATGAAGTACAAGTCACTAACATTGAATGTTTATAGCTTATTTAGTTGGTTTTTCATTAAGTCCTGTATGAATAAAGTTGTGTGGAAGTTTTTGTTTGAGAGTTTTTTCTATAGATGGAAGAAGTGTGTTTTTATTATTGGGAGATGCATGTTTGGAAAAAAACTTGGTTTTCTGCATAAAGCTTCTCTCTTCTCTAGAAGCTTATCGAATAAGCCACTTTTTATATCATTAAGCTATTACCAAACAGTTATATGTAGTTGACTGGAAAAGTTATGAATCTCGTTAAACTTATTAAGCTGCTAACAAACAGGTCTTTGAAATCTATCTCGTCGCTTATTTGTGTTATTGGTCCTTGATTAGTTTGTAGTCAGTAAAATTTAGACCGGGATTTTATTAGCCGTGTTAACCAAACTTTTTTGGACCAGTCTATGACCATCTCTAACATCAAGTGAAAGATATGATAAATACTAAATTCCAGATCATTAATGAGAAAACATCAATGAATTAAACCATGAAAATAAACGATCGTAATTTTAAAAACGTAAAGAAGAAAAGAATTACATTTACTTAAGTTATTATTATATATTATTAGAAGACTACTCGTGCAATGCAGCGAGATACATTTCGATTTTAATGTTTCGTTTTATTCTATCATTTGCCGATATTATAATACGGTTTTGTGGTTTTGAGAAAACGGTAATGTTTTTATTTTTGAATAAAATATAAATTCGAAAATATCATAAACTTTTGAAAAAAAATATCTATATTATTATCAAACTAATTACTTAAAAGTTTTTTTTTGTGTAATTTATTTGATGCAATTTTTTATATAATTTAATTTAGGTTTAATAACGAAGTAACTTATTTTTT